AACCACAACCACTGTACTACAACCACTGAACCACAACCACTGAACCACAACCACCGTACTACACCACTGAACCACAACCACTGTACTACCAACCACTGAAACCACAACCACAACCACCGTACTACAACCACTGAACCACCACTGTACTGAACCACACCACCGTACTACAACCACACCACAACCACTGTACTACAACCACTGAACCAACAACCACCGTACTACAACCACCGTACTACAACCACTGAACCACAACCACCGTACTACAACCACCGTACTACAACCACCGTACTACAACCACCGTACTACAACCACTGAACCACAACCACCGTACTACAACCACCGTACTACTACCACTGAACCACAACCACCAAACCACAACCACTGTACCACAACCACTGTACCACAACCACCGTACTACTACCACTGAACCACAACCATTAATTTAATACCACCGGATCAGTACCACATGCTCGTAAGGACTGGACCCCATTTCCAAAGGCATGATCAGGCTAGGACGGGACCCATTCAACCAATTAAATGTTACCAGGATTACTCGTGTCATTTTGAATTTGCTAGAGATACTGAAGGTAATGGGAGCCGTTATAATGTTGGGGAAGTACAGTAGTGTTTTAATATTCGGGAGAGGAAACCTGAATATCTCGGGCGTCAGTAACAGCTGTCCGTCGATGCTTGAGTAAAAAATATCATTATACCCACACTGAGGTGTCCTTAACCTGTTCCTACACGACAAAGTGCCTATAACCTTTGACTACAACGTCTAGTGTCCATAATTCTCGTTAATAACTTTCGAGGGACCGATAACATCGCTCGCCATAACACCTGTTTTTATCCACATGTGGCGAGAACATCTGTGGGGTTATTCTTCCGCAGTTGTTCACAGCAGCATGTGTCCCAAACACTTGTCTCCTGCCAACACACACACACACACACACACACACACACACACACCATTTGGCTTAGGTTCACACAATATCTAACAAACAAGACAACTGAAACGACTCCTCTTTACACGGCTTCACACATCACCCACACTATGTTAATGATATACACCAGTGAATTTCATCCCCTTAATAACGTCATCATTGCCCTGAGTTTCAACAAAGAGATTATATATTAAAAAGCCGTTTGTTTGTTTAGAGTCAGCCACACCATATAACAAATCTGTTTACATCACTGAATATCATCCCCTGACAATGACTTTACCATCAAACATATTATACACCAAAATCATGTCTGTCTGTTTTTATATTCAGTTGGTCACACCACACACACACACACACACACACACACACACACACACACACACACACACACACACACACACACACACACACACACACACTGCACACACACAACTGCACACACACACACACACACACACACCTGTACACACACACACACACACACCTGCACACACACCCATTCCCCAAATATGTAACTGTATATTTTCAGCCTTCTGGCTGCCAAGCTCTTTCAATAAACCGTTAATTATTTATTATTATTATTATTACACACACACACACACCACACGGTGTCCCCATGACCACGTGAGGTACTTCATATCAACACCTACGGACGAGTTACTGCACCACGAGGCCTATGTGACCTCACACAGTATGGCGAGAGACCAGCCCGGTCCATCAACTGTAAACTATAACAATTTGTATGTTCAATTCATGTTTCTTCTCCTTTTAGTAATGAAAGCTTTTGTTAAACGACCCACCCACCCCATGTCTTTGTATGTAATAAGTCATTTCTGTCCAATGTATATTTTCAGCCTTCGGGCTGCAGAACTTTTTCAATAAACGGTTAATTATTATTACATACACACCTACACCTGCACACACACACACACACACACACACCTACACACAGGTAATACTCTCATCGACTTAGGTTAAAGAAGGTCCCAGAGCGGCCACTGGCTGTAATACCCCTTGTTGTAAAGTCATTAACCAGATTTATAGAAAATTTCTTTCAGTCAAGATATTTCAACTGTGACGGACTCTCTCTCACTACCCTACTTTGGTTACCTGTGTTTCATTTCTTTCTCTTTCATTTCTTTCTTACTTTATCTACTTTTTTTCTCTTTCTTCACTTATCTTTCTACTTTTTGTTTCTCTTTCGTCCTTCTTATTTCTTTCTTGTCTTCTTTTCTCTCCACTTGTTTTTGTTTCCTGCTTCCTTATTTCTTTTCTCTTATTTGTCTTGTTCTTTCATCTTCTGTCATTTTTGTATTTTTCTCTCGTGTATTTGATAAGTAATGCTATATAATGCTGTCCTCCTGCTGCGTGATGTTATATAATGCTGACCTACTGCTGTTGGGTCATGCTGTGTAATGGGTGTTGTGTGTTATAATTATGCTGTCTTAACCAATGCTGTAACGTTGCATCAATCAATACTGAGTTGGACAAAACAAAAAATTAGAGTGTTGTGATGGGCAATGCTGTGTTGATTACTGCTGTGTTGGGGCAATGCTGTGTTGATTACTGCTGTGCTGGGGCAATGCTGTGATGATTACTGCTGTGCTGGGGCAATGCTGTGTTGATTACTGCTGTGCTGGGGCAATGCTGTGTTGATTACTGCTGTGCTGGGGCAATACTGTGTTGATTACTGCTGTGCTGGGGCAATGCTGTGTTGATTACTGTTGTGCTGGGCAATGCTGTGTTGATTATGCTGTGTTGGGGCAATGCTGTGTTGATTACTGCTGTGCTGGGGCAATGCTGTGTTGAATGCTGTGTTGATTACTGCTGTGCTGGGGCAATGCTGTTTTGAATGCTGTGTTGATTACTGCTGTGCTGGGGCAATGCTGTGTTGATTACTGCTGTGCTGGGGCAATGCTGTTTTGATTACTGTTGTGTTGGGGCAATGCTGTTTGATTACTGCTGTGTTGTGGCAATGCTGTGTTGATTACTGGTGTGCTGGGGCAATGTTGTGTTGATTACTGCTGTGCTGGGGCAATGCTGTTTTGATTACTGTTGTGTTGGGGCAATGCTGTTATTACTCTTGTGCTGGGGCAATGCTGTGTTGATTACTGTTGCGCTGGGCAATGCTGTGTTGATTACTGCTGAGTTGGGGCAATGCTGTGTTGATACTGCTGTGCTGGGGCAATGCTGTGTTGATTACTGCTGTGATAGGGCAATGCTGTGTTGATTACTGCTGTGCTGGGGCAATGCTGTTTTGATTACTGCCGTGTTGGGGCAATGTCGTGTTGATTACTGCTGTGCTGGGGCAATGCTGTGGTGACTACTGCTGTGCTGGGGGCAATGCTGTGTTGATTACTGCTGTTCTGGGGCAATGCTGTGTTGATTACTGCTATCTGCTGGGGCAATGCTGTGTTGATTACTGCTGTGCTGGGGCAATGCTGTTTTGATTACTGCCGTGTTGGGGCAATGCTGTGTTGATTACTGCTGTGCTGGGGCAATGCTGTGTTGATTACTGCTGTGCTCGCGCAATTGTGTGTTGATTACTGCTGTGCTGGGGCAATGCTGTGGTGACTACTGCTGTGCTGGGGGAAATGCTGTGTTGATTACTGCTGTTCTGGGGCAATGCTGTGTTGATTACTGCTGTGCCTGGGCAATGCTGTGTTGGGCAATTGTTGGTCGGATGAAGCTGTTAAGAGGTAATGTGTTTAGTGGAGGCTGGCATCAATCAGGTCAAGCGAGGCTAACATAGTGGCACCCGGCGGCGGCACTCCCACCTGTGCCAGCCGGGAGGTTCGCCTTTAGTGGGCCATGACAAAGCCCCTCCACCCACTGCCCCGCCTACTGACCCCGCCCAGGTGTCGTCAAAGCTACTTACACCCACTGCCCCACCCAGATGCCCTGCCAGCTGTTTTCACCCACTGCCCCACCCAGATGCCCTGCCAGCTGTTTTCACCCACTGCCCCACCCAGATGCCCTGCAGCTGTTTCCACCACTGCCCACCCATATGCCCTGCCATATTTCCACCACTGCCCCACCCAGATGCCCTCCAGCTATTTCACCACTGCACCACATGCCCTGCCAGCTATTTCCACCACTGCCCCACCCAGATGCCACGATAGTCCTAGTGACCATACCTGGTGTCCACTTGCAGTACCTAGTGGCAAGAGAGTACCTGGTGATCACTGACAGTCCACCAGTGACCAGTACTAATACCTAGTGTCACTTGCGAGTACCTAGTGGCAAGAGTACCTGGTGATCACACTGACAGTACCTAGTGACCAATACCGTGTCCACTGGCAGTACCTAGTGACCAGTACCCAATACCTAGTGACCACTGGCAGTACCTAGTGGCAAGAGAGTACCTGGTGATCACTGACAGTACCTGACCAATACTAGTGTCCACTGGCGGTACCTAGTGGCAGAAGAGTACCTGGTGATCACTGACAGTACCTAGTGACCACTGGCAGTACCTAGTGACCAATACCTAGTGTCCACTGGCAGTACCTTAGTGGCAAGAGAGTACCTGGTGATCACTGACAGTACCTAGTGACCACTGGCAGTACCTAGTGACCAATACCTAGTGTCCACTGGCAGTACCTAGTGGCAAAAGAGTACCTGGTGATCACTGACAGTACCTAGTGACCACTGGCAGTACCTAGTGACCAATACAGTGTCCACTGGCAGTACAGTGACCAGTGCCAATACCTAGTGACCACTGGCAGTACCTAGTGGCAAAAGTACCTGGTGATCACTGACGGTACCTAGTGACCACTGGGTACCTAGTGGCCACCACACATTCTCACTGGCAGTACCCTGTGACCAGTGCCAATACCTAGTGACCACTGGCAGTACCTAGTGGCAGAGAGTACCAGTCACTCAGACAGTACCTAGTGACCAATACCTAGTGACCACTGGCAGTACCTAGTGACCAGTAGCAGTTCTTAGTGACCACTGACAGTACCTAGTGTCCACTGGCAGTACCTAGTGACAAGCTAGTACCTAGTGACCACTGGGAATACTGAGTGACCAGTACCTAGTGTCAAATGGCAATACCTAGCGACCACCGGCTGGGAACACCTGGTGCCTCGGGCTGCCTTAACAATAGAGCGTGTGAACACAACATCCGACTCCACTGTAATGCAACGCTCGATACAGTAAACTACAAAATCCAATAGTCTTCTCGCACTGGTTATATCTTTGCTGTAGTTCTTCCCCCAGTACCATAAGTCGCTCCTGTTAAGAACACCACAAAGGTGTTTATATGTACAGTCGGGGTCAAAAGTTCGCTCCCTCCCAAAATGAAGCAGAGTCGACCCCAAATGAGATGAACCAGCACAACCGCAGCCAGGGTAAGTAAGTTTGGAGACTCATTCCCATGACTCAGTTTCATCACGGGAGGAACTTTTGTCCGCGACTGTACATCACTCACAGTATTATGAATTAGTATACAGTGTCTTCGCCGCCACGAGCCCAGCTGTACAAAAGAACATTCACAAGTAAAATGTCATATTTTCATATTATTTATCGATTTTTTAATCCACATCGCAGGAAAATTCACCAACAGTCCGTCTGTTCATTTCTTGGTCTGTGGCTCTTGTGTTCGATTCGGTAGTCAGAAATGTACAGCAAATGGGGAATAGTTGAGTCCATGTGCACCCTAGTTTGTGTCGGTCGTCACAAAAGTACACACAACTCTGCTGTTGATTATAACTGCTCACATTGGTGTATGTAAGTCGTGGAGGGAGAGATGGAGGTGGAGGGAGAGATGGGGTGGAAGGGGAGATGGGGGTGAAGGGGGAGATGGGTGGATGGGAGGTGATGGAGGGGAGGTGGGGGGAGGTGATGGGAGGGTGGAGGGGAGAGATGGGGGGGAGGGGAGATGGGGGTGGAGGGGAGGTGATGGGGGGTGGGGGAGGTGATGGAAGGGTGGAGGGAGAGATGGGGGTGGAGGGAGAAATGGGGTGGAGGGAGATGGGGTGGAGGGAGAGATGGGGGTGGAGGGGAGGATGGGGGGGGGTGGGGGAGGGATGGGGGGGGAAGGAAAGATGGGGGTGGAGGGGAAGGATGGGGGTGGAGGGAGAGATGGGGTGGAGGGAGAGATGAGGTGAAGGAGAAATGGGGGTGGAGGGAGAGATGGGGGTGGAAGGAGATGGGGTTGGAGTGGGAGTGGTGAAGGAGGGAGGTGGTTGGGAAGGGGAGGGTGGGAGGGTGGAGGGGAGATGGTTGGAGGTCGGAGTAAGGGTGGTGAAGTGGTGGAGGAGAGAGGTGGTGAAGGGAGAGAGGTGGTGGGAGGATGGAACAGAAAGGGAGAGGCGGGAGGATGCCGAAGGAAGGTGTTGGAAGATGGGGGTGGGAGAGGGAGGTTTGGAAAAAGGGAGGTAGTGAATGGGACAGGAAAGAGGAGGAGGAGAAGGAAGAGGAGGAGGAGAAGGAAGAGGAGGAGGAGGAGGAGGAAGAGGAGAAGGAGGCGGAGGAGGAGGAAGAGGAGGAGGAGGAAGAGAAGGAAGAGGAGGAGGAGAAGGAAGAGGAGGAGGAGGAGGAAGAGGAGAAGGAGGTGGGGAGGAGAAGAGGAGGAGAGAAGGAAGAGGAGGAGGAGAAGGAAGAGGAGGAGGAGGAGGAAGAGGAGAAGGAGGGGGGGAAAAGGAGGCGGAGGAGGAGAAGAGAGGAGGAGGAGGAGGAGGAAGGAAGAGGAGGAGAAGGAAGAGGAGGAGGAGGGAGGAGGAGGAGGAGAGGAGGAGGAGGAGGGGAGAAGAGAGGAGGAGGCAGGAGAAGGAGGGGGAAAGGGGCGGGAGGAGGAGAGAAGAGGAGGAGGAGGAGAAGAGGAGGAGGAGAAGAAGAGGAGGAAAATGAGAGACCGATCAGAGGAAGAGGTATAGACATAACCATGGGGAGTGGATGGTGTAAACAACGAGAGAGAGAGAGAGAGAGAGAGAGAGAGAGAGAGAGAGACGACCCAGTGAAGACCCTCAGCCAGCCATTACAACGCATTTAAACCTGTTGGCAATTTACAACTCTTCGCCAACCTGTCGTCAGCTGATTCACTTGATTTCACTTGTACCCAAAGGTTGAATGTGTAGGGCAGAGGCAACTGGTATAAGAAAGAGGCCACTGGTATAGAGATAGAGGTCACTGGTATGTATCAGAGGTCACTGGTATGTATCAGAGGTCACTGGTATAAGACAGAGGTCACTGGTATAAGACAAGAGGTCACTGGTATAAGACAGAGGTCACTGGTATAAGACAGAGGTCACTGGTATAAGACAGAGGTCACTGGTATAAGATAGAGGTCACTGGTATAAGACAGAGGTCACTGGTATACTGTAAGACAGATGGGTTAATATTGATGACTAACCCAACGACGCATTATTTGTTTTGATCAGTTAGTTCTGATATGATAATCATTTCTCGTGGAAATTTTTCGTTGGGTGATAATTATGCACCTAGACGCGCACTACTTTGTCTTCTCGAGACGTAATCCGGCGGTGACCTCTCATCCCGGACGTAAACAACCAATCATAATGACGTATTTCAAAACACTCCCCTGCGCCGCATCCCGATCGACGCCTATCCTCAGTGTGCTTTATGAGCCGGCGGCTGCTCCCACGTCCACAAAAAACGTCAAATTACACGTATCATAGCAAGTTGTTTCTGTTTAATATGCCACGAAGGGTTCGGGGGTGGAGCCCCACGGCTAGGAAGTTAAGTAAGGTTAGGTTGATTGAGCTCTTATAACATCGCTTCTGCCGCTTGTTAGGTTAGGGTAAATTATAAATAACCTCTTTTTAACACATTTGCACAAACTACGGCAGTGTCCACTATAAAACACAGTGAATAATTACCACCTAACCTAATCAAACCTGGGAAATAGCCTATTATGACCTAACCTGATCCAACCTTACCTAACCTGAATTAATCTAACCGACTGTAGTACAATATAAACCTGAATTTTTTTTGTCTCACCTAAGAAACACCTGAATTTGACACACCACACCTAGGAAACACCTGAATTTGACACACCACACCTAGGAAACACCTGAATTTGACACACCACACCTAGGAAACACCTGAATTTGACACACCACACCTAGGAAACACCTGAATTTGACACACCACACCTAGGAAACACCTGAATTTGACACACCACACCTAAAAACACCTGAATTTGACACACCACACCTAGGAAACACCTGAATTTGACACACCACACCTAGGAAACACCTGAATTTGACACACCACACCTAGGAAACACCTGAATTTGACACACCACACCTAGGAAACACCTGAATTTGACACACCACACCTAGGAAACACCTGAATTTGACACACCACACCTAGGAAACACCTGAATTTGATACACCACGCCCGGGAAACACCTGAATTTGACACACCACACCTAAGAAACACCTGAATTTGACACACCACACCTAGGAAACACCTGAATTTGACACACCACACCTGGGAAACACTTGAATTTGACACACCACACCTGTAAAACACATGTATACGGTACATGACGCACTACTGCAAAAAAGAGCTGAATATTGACCACCACACCTCTATACAGGTGTCAACTACGTCACAGCCACACCACACGGTCCGCTAATGCTGATGAAGCTTTAGAGTTTCGTCAATTTCACGAGTTTTATTTGTTATCTATGACGCTAAATGTTACTGACGTCATTTGGGGGTTTGGAAAAATCTGTCACAAATTAGCTATTAATAATCCATATAATTTAAGATATTTTAAGTTCACTACTTGGGAGTTTATCCACTTTAGCTTGACAGTCACTTGATACTTACTGGGGAGATAAGAGTTAGTCTTTTTAAACTAATTCTTGCACTAATAATTTGAAATAAATATTAAACCAAACAACTTTTGTTATTTACTGACCCAAAGGAGTTACAATAAATCATATCACTTTTCCTGGTACGCATGAGCTGGAGTATTCATGGGTAGATGGAGTTGATTTTAACCAATTCATTTCGATATATAAATTTCATATATGTTTGAAAGCCTTTCACCACAATATACACATCAGAAAACACGGTAGATCTGCCCAGGTAGTTCACACCCCGAACTGTGTACCGCTTCAAATAACTATACGGGTGGTATTGTGTCACCTGAAGATAAGACACCCCATCTTATTTAACCTGATGATTAACCACACAGACACTAACCTAACCTAACCCCCCCAAGTAGAGTTAGGGTGTTTATTCTAATGTTCAGGAGACCCAATATTCTTTACGGTACATCAGGAGCATCTTAAGTCCCTCACTACACAGGCTCTCTCAACCCGTAAGGAAGATCAGTTGGTATCTGTACAGCACAACCGTCCGTTCTCACCCACGGGGGATCCAAGTCACTGGCCTCCCCCCACTGCTACGCCATGGCTTAACAATACAACGACCGTAACACCTGTACACACACACTAACGAGCAACTGGAAATGCCATCCCTCAGTGACCTCCACCACCAAGCACTGGAAAGGTTTGGCAGTGGACTACTGCACCACCCTCGTCATCGCCACCTCCTGCCACCTGCAGCCCCCCACCCACCTCGCGCAGTCCACCACTACAACAAAATTCAGCCCATAAGAGCCCGCACCGATAGATATAAGAACAGCACCATCCCATCTATTGTTAAAATAATAAACAACTCCTGATTTATGTACTGTACAGCCCTGTAAATGTATTGAACGTATATTATATCATTATGTCTAAATCAAATGTAAGTCTGTATATTTTCAGCCACCGGCTGCAACTCTATTAATAATCCGTTTATTATTATTATTATTATTATTATTAATTGTATGGTTATGGTGTCTTTTGGAATGGTTATTTTATGTATTTATATTAATTTATATTTGCAAGTCGGTCTTATAATTAGTTATCATAGTGAATCTTCGTCTATTTTATGTGATTTGATTATTGAAAAGTTTAGATACTCTGTGATGTCAGTTGCTGTATCACGTCAACACTTGAATACAAAATAAACACCTTCCTTGTTTTGCTCTCGTACTGTGCAACTCTACCTGTTCTTGGGGTGTTAGGTTAGTGTGCATTAGGTTAGGTTAGCGTTAGGGTGTTTAGTCATCAAGGGGAATAAGGTGGAGGTGCCTAACCTCTGCCTGACCCCCATTGTCTCACTCTACCTACTATTCTTGCTGTAGGTCTATACGGTACTAATTCACCCACATCAAATAATTCTGTCTATCGTCTACAGTTGTATTGATGAACACTACTGGAGGAACACCTATCTCTCACACCCTTACTTCCTGAACTGTCCATTCACACACGAGAGAGAGAGAGAGAGAGAGAGAGAGAGAGAGAGAGAGAGAGAGAGAGAGAGAGAGAACGTTTATATAAATCCACCGTAAAATATCTCCTCTCTAAACGTAGGTCTTCAGGATATACCTTAATAAAACTATAATAGATAATATTTACAAGGTTCACTTCAGCAAATGTCGCTGATTAAAACAATTATGCTGAGTTGAACTGCAATTGCAATTAGTCCGTTGATTGGATGACTATTGTTACCAAAAATTCACCTTTTTGGCTGTTGCAACTGATATAAGTTGTACCACGCACAAACCGATTTTGCACAGATCTTAACCTAACCTATCCTAACCTAACCAAGTTGTAATATGATTAGAATTTGGGTTAGTATGGTCATGTTGCTAGGATTATTGAAACACTGTATTTTGTTTTGGATATTATGATTTACACTATCTTTCTACTGTTCTTGTACAAATATTTTAATTTATAAGAAAATCTTAATGTACAAATTCAATTTGTAAAATATAAGTAAAACAATTTGGATTTAAATTTTATCAATACAATATATATATATATATATATATATATATATATATATATATATATATATATATATATATATATATATATATATATATATATATATATATATATATATATATATATATATATATTGTATTAAAATATAACTTTTTACACGTTTTACAGTGTCTTATTTCTTTTACATGACCTTTACATAACTACTTTATGTACAGTGAGAGACTGAAGTACAGTATCTTCCCGGGGTATTGACTAATACATCTCAGAACGATTCAGCCATCAGACACATGCTTGTGTGGAGCCCATAAACAGTCGGCAGGCCTGTGGGAAGGGGTCGCCAGTGTCACCGTTTACTGTGTTGGGTAGTCAGGTTTTATTATACTTCGGCCAAACCTGGGAAGATACTCTCCCTGTACCTCACGTGGGAAAAGCATAAGAGGCACCACCTATATCTTCACCACTGTCCTCTCCTCCACCGCCCACGTTTAAATCTCTGCCCCAAGACGCCTCTCGTTTACCATAAAAAAACCCTCTCTGTTGTAAGATCTTTCCGGTGAGTTATGTAGAAGATTTCAGTATCCCCCAACACTGCAGGACGCAATGCTGGAATCAAAGGATTTTTTTTTTATGTGTCCACAAATTTTATTAAGGTGTTGAAGCAGATTTTGAGTTATGACCCGGAAATGAAGCTCGGACGGGTGGATAGACAGATTGACTAAGGGCACAATGGTGGACGTACTGATAGACTGACAGACGCGCGAATACACTAAAAGACGCACACTTGGACAGCCTGATAAAAGTTAGGTTAGAGAGACAGAGATAAAATCAGATTGACGATAAACAAAGAGATAAAATTTTGGTCTCCTAGATTCATATTTTTTCCTGGTCGTTCGTATCGTCATATCCGCTTCAGGTCCTCCCACCGAGCGACCTCACTTCCCTGCTGCACCTGCCAATAACGCGTCGCCAGCTAACCTTATTCCAGCACCCAATAATTACCTTAATGCACCCAGTTACTTGATCCCGGCAGACCCAGGTGTCTCCAGTGATTGGATTTATTTAATATTTGTGAACTACAGCAAAATATTACACGTGGAAATTAGTACAAAATATTGGATTTGTCAACAGGTGTGTGTGTGTGTGTGTGTGTGTGTCAAAGGTAACTATATTTGAGTACAAAGATTTTTCGTGGGAAAGAGGATGGAGGGAGAGGGTAAGGAGGGGGAGCAGAGCTAAACTGGCTGAGGAGTTCTTGGCCGAGGTGTCTTTCTGCTCTGGCCCAAGTGTGGGAGGTCATCGGTTAAGGTGTCTCCTCTGGCCTGGCTGTTCTTACTCTCCATGATCAGATATTAACTGACTCCTCCCCCCCCCCAAAAAAAACCCTATACATTGCTATTATCTTGATATTACTGCAAACAAAAAAAAAATCCGATTTTTGAATTATACTTTACATACTTCTTTCTTCATACAAAGGTGAAAAAGACAGACCTGTTCACACACACACACACACAAAAACACACACACACACACACACACACAAACACTGAAAAAGAGTGAAAGGTATTGTACATCGATTGTGTGCCGGGCCTTGCTGGCCTCCAACACCTGGAGGACAGGAGGAACGCGGCGGGACCTCTCACCTGCTCCTCCTGTACACTGCGCTCCACCTTACTTCCTTCACTCCTGTCAATTAAGTTGTCAAGTCAGAGTTCTGGGTGGCGTCAGCTGCCAAGCAGAGCACAACTCCGTGATTATTCTCGTCGCCTCCGGTAACTTTCTCTGGGTAGTGCCCGGGAACACCCAGCGCTCTGTTGCCAGACTTGTGTGTTTGTCTTTACTGCTTCTGCTGAGCCTCTCTGTGGCCCACTTATGTGGCTCACCGGTGCAGCATGTAGTGGCCCACCTATGTAGTAGCCCACCCATCATGAGCCCACCGGTGCAATGTACCTGAGTGGGTTCGCTTGTGTGGCCCACCTGGTTCACCTCAGTTAACGGAATATGCGTCCGTGCAGCAGGCGGGAGGTGTAGTGGAGCGGCTGACCTCATCTTCTGTGGTCATTAAGCCAGGCACATCCACTTCCGTTAACGCAGTCTTGCCCATTGTCAATATGTCACACGGAGTGGGACGAGGCAGTTGAGGAATCGAACTCGGGACAACTATGTGACAGCAGCGGCAGGTCTTCCCAACACGGCCACCTTTATACTGACGAATTGCTTGTCGGTCGCCTGAGTGTGCCCATTAATGTTAAAACACATTAATGCTGTAACTGTAGGAAAACTTTAATTCAGGCTGACTGCATCTCCGGAGAGCTGCAGCCTGTAATCTCATTACGTGGTACAGCGCTAAACATTAACGGCACTTTTATTGTCGTTCATTACCTCTCGGTGTGTGGACCACGTACTGGACACCTAACTTAATTTTCCCAACAGTATTCCTTATCTCTCTCTTATCTACAAAAACTTTAACTGTGAAATAGCAACACAAACACTAAGAGACTCAAACACTCACAAGGTTTAGGGGGAAGGTCAGTCACGTTTACAAGATCATCGGGGTAACTTAAGCACATACATGGTGTTGAACCGCCCTTACAGTAATTACACAAAGCCTTGTACCCAATTGCAATATTTGTAGTAGAAATGCGATAATATTGTATACCATCACCCTGGTCTGGTCCAGTACACTGTCACAACAACTAAGTACAAACACAGGAACAGAAAACACTGTACAGAATACACAGAACTCTCCCATCTGAAAGCATTGTGAATTCGTGACTAAAACGTTCAAAATATTCAGGCAAGCAGTTTATCCTCCAGCGAGGCAGCGAACAGGCCCTGCGCTCGTCCATCTAAAAATATTCCTCTGTTTCGTTTATTCATTTAGTTTTGTTAGATGAACACCAGCCATTTTTGGTGTAGGTTGGGTTCTTTTTCCAATCTGTGTGACGGGGTAGTGAAGGGTTCTTGATGGACTCCCTGCATATTTCCCTGACACTTTAATCTCGCTCTCGTTTTGTTATTATGTTTCTCTTAACAGAAGATGAATTTATTATTGTCTTCCTTACTTCCTTATTATTTTTCTTATAAACATTTAGCATTTAATCTTTAATCCTTCAAATCTATGATAATTACCTTGAAACTACGTCAGCTTGTTCCTTGCTTCAATACAATGCAATTTCTTTTATATTTGTGTGTTTTTTTAAATAATTTTATAGAGTCAAAGGTCAAATATACAATAAACGTTTATTATGACCTGTTGTTCTGTCATGTATAGACTAATTATGGTGAAAGTTGCCACAAATACTGTAAGTCCACACAATGATACTATTCCACAGGTGTTTAAGGTCACTAAAAGTGCATAATTTGGGGTGTTTGGTCCATTGTAGCCTCAAGCACGTCATGCGGGGCTGAGTGGAGAAGCCATGTTTGGATACACTGAAGAAATTGTCGTCTCCACGGATATTATTGTTTATATTGTTATTGGTATTATCCGTGTTTTTATTATTGTTTTATTTGTTAATATAATTAATTTTTTACTCTTGTGAGTCTATCCCCGTGAGTCACAAGGCGGCCTGGAAAAAAGCACAGACTCACCCTCATTCACTTTACATGTCATAACAGATGTGGCCCGTTACGGTGTTATACATTCACATCAACGCAGATGAGTCCTAATGTGACGTTCACCTTCCACAACAACGTCCCTACAATTTTCCACATAAAGATGGCCCAGCAGCAGCAGCAGCAGCAGATAGGAGCAGCAGCAGCAGCATTGATCTGGTTTGATTTTGGGTCATGAAAAAATATATAGGGATTGGGGTTACCTGCCTCATGCCCTCGGGATTAATTGCTGCCAGGTGGGGTCACTGCTTCCATACGACTATATTATTGTTGTTGTTGTTGTTGTTGTTATTATTATTATTGTTGTTGTTGTTATTAATTATTGTTATTAATTATTATTATTATTATTATTATTATTATTATTATTATTGTTGTTGTTGTTGTTGTTGTTATTAATTATTGTTATTAATTATTATTATTATTATTATTATTATTATTATTGTTGTTGTTGTTGTTGTTGTTATTATTGTTGTTGTTATTAATTATTGTTATTAATTATTGTTATTAATTATTATTATTAATTATTATTATTATTATTATTATTATTATTATTATTATTATTGTTATTAATTATTAATATCATTATTATTATTATTATTATTATTATTATTATTATTATTATTATTATTATTGTTATTAATTATTAATATCATTATTATTATTATCATTATCATTATTATTATTATTATTATTATTATTATTATTATTACTAGTATTATCATTATTATTATTATTATTATTATTATTATTATTATTATTGTTATTATTATTATTATTAGTTATTATTTTTATTATTATTATTATTATTATTATTATTATTATTATTATTATTATTGTTGTTGTTATTAATTATTAATATCATCATTATTGTATATTATTATTATTATCATTATTATTATTAGTATCATTATTAATTATTATTATTATTATTGTTATTAATTAATAATATCATCATCATTATTATTATCATTATCATTATTATTATTATTATTATTATTGTTGTTATTAATTATTAATATCATCATTATTATTAATATCATCATTATTATTATTATTATTATTATTATTATTATTATATTGTCATTAATTATTATTATTATTATTGTTATTAATTAATAATATCATCATCATTATTATTATTATTATTATTATTATTATTATCATTATCATTATTATTATTATTATTATTATTAATATTATTATTAGTATTGTCATTAATTATTATTATTATTATTGTTATTAATTAATAATATCATCATCATTATTATTATTATTATCCCAGCACTGCCAGGTCACTGCCGGTTGTCACTGCACAATACATAATCACTGGGAGAGCTATTAGCGAGGTAATCACCACCTGGGGAATTGCTGACTCAATCATTTATTTTTATTCCTTTGTCGAGTGTAATTTTTGTTCCCTCACTCTTCCCCTGTTTATTTATTTCAGTTAGTTATTATTAATTATCTTTTTATTGCATGTATTATATTTTTTACCCTTTCTTCTTGTTATTATTATATTTATCGTTGTCGTTATTATTATTTTTATTATTATTATTATTAATCCCATTTCCAGGGAAAACTAAGGGATTTTTGCATGAAACTTCTGAAGACTTTTAACACCACAATTACGACTCAGTTCTCACAGTGTTTCAGTGGTTAACGTAATACCACCACCACCTCCACCACCACCACCACCGCCACCACCACCTGCTCACCACCACCTCCACCACCACCACCACCTCCACCACCACCACCTCCCCCACCACCACCACCACCTCGCACCACCTCCACCACCACCACCCCCACCACCTCCACCACCCACCACCACCACCGCCCCCACCACCTCCACCACCCACCACCCCCACCACCTAGTTATACGTTATATATGTGACTGGTTTACAAATGGTGAACGCTGCTTTTAATATCAATTATGCCAGAATAACATGTAAAAACTCTATGTAATACGATGAAATATGTGAGCAGATAATTGTAAAAATACAGGTCCTCTCACCTACACGGTCCACACGTAGATAATGACAGAGGTTACTGAGAGTGTTCAGGCTCCAGTACAGCCTCACGTGACGTGGGACAGCGGACAAAACTGTGGGAAACTTAGTGACTGAACATAAGAACATAAGAATGGAGGAAACTGCAGCGGGCCTATTGGCCCATACTGGGCAGTCCCGTTTACACCCAACCCCTATTGCTCATATAAGCATCCAACCTATGTTTGAAGCTATCCAGCGTATTCGAGTTAATGATGATATTTGGTAACTTGTTCCATTCATCCACTACTCTGTTTCCAAACCAGTGTTTACCTATTTCACGCCTAAATCTAAATTTGTCTAATTTAAAACCATTGTTACGAGTTCGCTCCTGGTTGGATAGTTTGAGTACCTTTGTAATGTCCCCTTTGTTTAGCCCTGTTTTCCACTTATACACCTCTATCAGGTCGCCCCTCGCTCTACGTCTCTCGAGGGAGTGCAAATTAAGATGCTTTAACCTGTCTCTATACTCAAGGTTCCTAATGCCCGGGATTAGTCTTGTCATTCTCCTTTGAATTATTTCCAAGGATTCTATATCCATATATCCATTCTGTAATACGGTGACCAGAACTGAACTGCGTAATCCAGGTGTGGTCTCACAAGAGCAAGATACAGTTTTAGGATGACCTCGCTAGTCTTGTAACTAACACTCCTTTGTATGAACCCAAGTACTTTATTAGCCTTGTTACGAGCAAAAACACATTGTTTACTTGGCTTAAGGTTACTACTTATCATTACTCCTAAAGCTCTCTCGCAGTCGGATTTCTCTATGGCATCGAGGAAGGAAGACATATGACGCTAAAAACTTAATTCTTGAACCATTAAAGAACACAGGTATGCACGGTGTTCTGTGTTCCAACATAACAGATATTCACCATTAAAGAACACAGGTATTCACAGGGTTATGTTCACCATATAAACCATCAGTAAACACGCCCCAGCACAGCTCCCCCCCCCCCTCCCCCCGTTGTTATACCTGGTTTAAAAATAAAACGTTCATAAGCTCTATGCATTTTAAATGAATTGTAATTGCCCCGCAACTCTGGCCTCACTAATCCCCTGACCTAAAACCGGGATCCTTACCTGAATAATAAAACCTGTGTGTTAAAAACCTAATATAAAATACCTTTACCTTTACTAATTTACCTGTAACCTAACCTAACCTAACCTAAGCGAACCTAACATATCCTAACGTAACCTAACCTAACCGAAGCCGCGACTGAATTATAAATATTCCTGTTAGGATCGACTCCCAGGATTACCTTTGCCTTTTAAATTGGTTCTCTGTGTATACAAAAGGATTAAGGATTCAAAACTTCGATAAGATAATCAGTGTGTTAGGTGTTGTGACTGCTGTACTTACCTGCCTATCTACAGGTGTGAATGATTAAGGAGTCATTTTAGGGGTTCAAAGGTAACACGATACTGTTTCAGGGGTTCAAATATGGTACGATACTGCTCCAGGAGAGAGAGAGAGAGAGAGAGAGAGAGAGAGAGAGAGAGAGAGAGAGAGAGAGAGAGAGAGAGAGAGAACAGGAACTTATGAGAGCGGCACAGAGTTGGGAAGTCACTTACCTCACAATAAATCAGAGATGTGTCGGCCACCAAGGGAGGAGGAGGTGGGCAAGAATTATAGGGAATATTAAAGTCATTCTGTAATGTGAGGACAGCATTTAACACCTCCACCATCTATCAACGTGACCTAAACAAAGGGTTACAGTCGTTTGTGATGATGAAAATCAATGGGATCACTTGAATAATTAGCCTTATTTCAACTTAAGATTAACCACCCAAACGCTAACCTACCTTAACCTAACCTACTTAACCTAACATACCCCGCCCCTGATCTAACCCCCACAGGCAGCGTTTGGGCGTGTACTTTACCCATCAAGTGAAATAAGGTAAGAGGGTGTGTATGTTTATTTTCAAGTGATCTCATTTATGTATCAGTTATCGTTTGGTTAATATAACTTTCAGTAATATATAATTATTAAGGTGGAATAGCGTTGGCGATGCGCTTTTAGTGACGCAGAAACCACACTCATCCTCCCTCCCACAGAGAGAGAGAGAGAGGATGGGGAAGGGGGGTAAGGGTACTGGAATCGATCTGCGTGAGAGTGAGCATTCGGTAAATTTTCTTGCGCAAACGCTCCCAAGTAAAGAAATTCCTACAGTATATAACTAGTGTTTCCCCCTAGTCTTGGTGGGCTTCATACCGTCCCTAAGGGTATATATAGCCGGCATCAGTTAGTCAGCCGTCCGGACAAGTTTTAGGGAAATTAGGTCAGGGTCAAGGCCGAAAGGGCGAGGACCTGCCTACTGCTCCGGCCGGGAAATAGAAAACGGGACAGTGTGTGTGGGAGACTGATGTATATGTGAAATATTCAGCTAAACTTTTACAAGCATCATTCATATTAAACAGGGAAACAGTTTTATAATACTTAACCAATTATACATTACTCAAGGGGCTGACGGATCATAAACAGCTTCTCAGGTTTCTATTTTGAACGGTAAGTGAAGACGTAAGAATGCACCTCCCTGGTTGACTTAAGCTACAGCCCAGAAATAACATCTAAAAATAGCACCAGTATTACCCTGCAATCTTACCTTACCAAGTTACGTTCAACACCACACAAAATTGAACGTATTCTTTTGGGAACGATTCTTTACTTTAATTTGGCCTCACTAACTGGTGCTAATGGGTGTATCTAGTTAACACGGTATCTCGGTATAACGGTGATATATATTTTTAACGTTGTTTCTGTGTTAAAGACAACCAGTTCAGTGTGATCTTATGTTGACAGTTACTGGTGATATTCACTGTACCGACCCTCAGAGATTCCAACCCCGGGATGATGACGGGAGAGTAGCAGCTGACAGAGGAGGGAGGAAGGATGGTGAGGGGAGGAGACAGGAGGGAGGAAGGATGGTGAGAGGAGGAGACAGGAGGGAGGAAGGATGGTGAGGGGAGGAGACAGGAGGGAGGAGGATGGTGAGAGGAGGAGACAGAGGAGGGAGGAAGGATGGTGAGGGAGGAGACAGGAGGGAGAAAGGATGGTGGAGGAGGGAGGAGACAGGAGGGAGGAAGGATGGAGGAGGAGGGGAGGAGGAAGGATGGTGGGAGGAGACAGGAGGGAGGAAGGATGGGGAGGAGCAGGGGAGGAAGGATGGTGAGGAGACAGGAGGGAGAAGGATGGTGAGGAGGAGGAGACAGGAGGGAGGAAGGATGGTGAGGGAGGAGACAGGAGGGAGGAAGGATGGTGAGGGAGGAGACAGGAGGGAGGAAGGATGGTGAGGGGAGGAGACAGGAGGGGAGGAAGGATGGTGAGGGAGGAGAAAGGAGGGAGGAAGGATGGTGAGGGCAGGAGGAGAGGATGGTGAGGGGAGGAGACAGGAGGGAGGAAGGCACTGTTCTGGCGGCTCCGTCCTGCTGTAGTGAACTGAAGATAAATTAATTCCTCTGTGTGTCATATGCTGCCGTGTGTCATATGCCTGGACGTGATGCATACCTATGGGTGTCATATGCCTGGACGTGATACATACCTATGGGTGTCATATGCCTGGACGTGATACATACCTATGGGTGTCATATGCCAGGCCGTGTGACACAGTACCTATGAGTGTCATATTCAGGCCGTGGTACAGTACCTCCTGGGTGACATGCCAGGCCGTCGTACCTATGGGTGTCATATGCCTGGCGTGATACAGTACCTATGGGTGACATATGCCAGGCCGTCGTACCTATGGGTGTCATATGCCTGGCCGTGATACAGTACCTATAGGGTGTCATATGCCAGGCCGTCGTACCTATGGGTGTCATATGCCTGGCCGTGATACAGTACCTATGGGTGTCATATGCCAGGCCGTCGTACCTATGGGTGTCATATGCCTGGCCGTGATACAGTACCTATGGGTGTCATATGCCTGGCCGTGACACAGTACCTATGGGTGTCATATGCCAGGCTGTGATACAAGTACCTATGGGTGTCATATGCCTGGCCGTGATACAGTACCTATGGGCGTCATATGCCTGGCTGTGATACAGTACCTATGGGTGTCATATGCCAGGCCGTCGACCTATGGGTGTCATATGCCTGGCCGTGATACAGTACCTATGGGTGTCATATGCCTGGCCGTGATACAGTACCTATGGGTGTCATATGCCTGGCCGTGATACAGTACCTATGGGTGACATATGCCTGGCCGTCGTACCTATGGGTGTCATATGCCTGGTGGTACGTACCTATGGGTGTCATATGCCAGGCCGTCGTACTATGGTGTCATATGCCTGGCTGTGATACAGTACCTATGGGTGTCATATGCCAGGCCGTCGTACCTATATGGTGTCATATGCCTGGCCGTGATACAGTACCTATGGGTGTCATATGCCTGGCCGTGATACAGTACTATGGGTGTCATATGCCTGGCGTTAGTACCTATGGGTGACATATGCCAGGCCGTCAGTACCTATGGGTGTCATTGCCTGGCCGTGATACAGTACCTATGGGTGTCATATGCCAGGCCGTGACACATGCGCTCGGGGTCATCTCTCCGCTTGGTATTATTCTAAATTCGTCTATTCCCTCCATATTATTAAGTCTTCTTCTCCGCCTCTTTTCTTTCTTTATTTTTAATGAAAAATGTTCAGGTCCACTTCTCTCTGCTCTTCACCTCACACCCTTCTCCTCCCTGTCTCTTCATTATATTCTCTCCGCATCTCTTCCTCGCCTTATCTCTCAGCAGTTCTCCCGCAGCTGGTCTTCTCTCTTCTCACTCCTGCTCGTTCTTCTTCTCATCTTTCGGTGAGGAAAATCCGCCCTGGGAAGCTACGCACGTACACAGAACGAATAAAAAGATTTCGTTTGACGTCACAGTATGATGTGTGACGTCAGAGAGGGACTATAAGGGATACTCAACTAGACTATTGCGCCCCGCCATGACTATTGTTTATAGTGAGGCAGTCTGTATGTCCCGTGTGTATGGTGCAACACTCATATATTTTGAGATAGGGAGTGTTAACCATTCATGGAAATCTACAAAATGCATAATTTGAGAATACATATTGAAGAGGAATGACATTTGAGAGGTCAAAGGTCATTTAGATTTTTAAATATAAGAATGAAATGAATGGAACTTTCTGTATACGGGTTTCTTCAGTATCTTTATTATTGTTGAGAATAGTTCTAAACAGAAGAGTGCGAGTGACGCAGGATTTGGAAAATTCCGCCGACGCAAGATTTAGGTGGGTCGTGCAGGACCTCACCGTCTTCCTCGCCCACCTTAATTTTGTGAGATGGGTACATACGTCAAGAGCCAGGGAGTGCCACCAGTGCCACACTCACCCAGGTCAGCGATGCCACACTCCTCCAGGTCAGGTACTCCTCCAGGCCACCGGTGCCACACTCACCCAGGACAGCGATGCCACACTCACACAGTTCACCAGTGCCACACCCACACACAGTACATCACACAGTTCACCAGTGCCACACCCACACAGCTCACCAGTGCCCACACTCACACAGTTCACCAGTGCCACACACACACTTCACAGTCCACACCCACACACTTCACCAGTGCCACCTCACAGTTCACCAGTGCCACACTCACACAGTTCACCAGTGCCACACTCACACAGTTCACCAGTGCCACACTCACACAGTTCACCAGTGCCACACTCACACAGTTCACCAGTGCCACACTCACACAGTTCACCAGTGCCACACACACCCACCCTGTTCACCAGTGCCACACTCACACAGTTCACCAGTGCCACACTCACACAGTTCACCAGTGCCACACCCACACAGCTCATCAATGCCACACCCACACAGTTCACCAGTGCCACACCCACACAGTTCACCAGTGCCACACTCACACAGTTCACCAGTGCCACACCCACCCTGTTCACCAGTGCCACACTCACACAGTTCACCAGTGCCACACCCACACAGACCACAAATACATACACTTGTCTTGCACAATTCCAAATATCATTTACCCATCACTATTTGAAACCAGACCTGCACGTTGACATCTACGGGATCAAAATTATATTAAAATAGGGAATTAGGGGTAGTCGAATAGGTGTGAATCCTCTTCAAATAGGTTATAATTATTCTGCATTCGACTGTTAAATTGGTTTTGAAATTCAATGGATGTCACTGTATACAACAAATTATATATGCCAGGGCTTGTATTATCAAAGGTAAGTAAGATAGATTAGTTCCTCGTGTTATGTAGCGTGTTAGTGTGTTATGTAGGGTGTTAGTGTGTTATGTAGGGTGTTAGTGTGTTATGTAGGGTGGTAGTGTTTTATGTAGCGTGTTAGTGTGTTATGTAAGTGGTAGTGTGTTATGTGGTGTTAGTGTTATGTAGGGTGTGTTTTATGTGCGTGTTAGTGTGTTATGTAGATGTTAGGTGTTATGTAGTGGTGTGTGTTAGGTGTTAGTGTGTTATGTAGGGTGGTAGTGTTTTTAGGGTGTTAGTGTGTTATGTAGGGTGTTAGTGTGTTATGTGTGTTAGTGTGTTATGTAGGGTGTTAGTGTGTTATGTAGGTGTTAGTGTGTTATGTAGCGTGTTAGTGTGTATGTAGGGTGTTAGTGTGTTATGTAGGGTGTTAGTGTGTTATGTAGGTTAATGTGTTATGTAGGGTGTTAGTGTGTTATGTAGCGTGTTGTGTGTAATGTAGGGTGTTAGTGTTATGGGGTGGTGTGTTATGTAGGGTGTTAGTGTGTTTGTAGGGTGTTAGTGTGTTATGTAGGGTGTTGTGTGTGTTATGTAGGGTTTTAGTGTTATGTAGCGTGTTAGTGTATGTAGCGTGTTAGTGTGTTATGTAGGGAATGTGTTTAGGGTGTTAGTGTGTTATACGTGTTAGTGTGTAATGTAGGGTGTTAGTGTGTTATGTAGCGTGTTAGGGTGTGTTATGTAGGGTGTTAGTGTGTCATGTAGGGTGTTAGTGTGTCATGTAGGGTGTTAGTGTGTTATGTAGGGTGTTAGTGTGTTATGTAGGGTGTTAGTGTGTTATGTAGGGTGTTAGTGTGTCATGTAGGGTGTTAGTGTGTTATGTAGGGTGTTGTGTGTGTTATGTAGGGTTTTAGTGTGTTATGTAGCGTGTTAGTGTGTTATATGGCGTGTTAGTGTGTTATGTAGCGTGTTAGTGTGTTATGTAGCTGTTAGTGTGTTATGTAGGGTGGAGTGTGTTATGTAGGGTGTTAGTGTGTTATGTAGGGTGTTAGTGTGTTATGTAGGGTGTTATGTGTTATGTAGGGTGTTAGTGTGTTGTAGGGTGTTAGTGTGTTATGTAGGGTGTTAGTGTGTTATGTAGCTGTTAGTGTGTTATGTAGGGTGTTAGTGTGTTATGTAGGGTGTTAGTGTGTTATATGGGGTGTTTGTGTGTTATGTAGGGTGGTAGTGTTTATGTAGCGTGTTAGTGTGTGTTATGTAGCGTGTTAGTGTATTGTGGTGTGTGTTATGTAGGGTGTTAGTGTGTTATGTGGCGTGTTAGTGTGTAATGTAGGGTGTTAGTGTGTTATGTAGCGTGTTAGTGTGTTATGTAGGGTGTTAGTGTGTTGTGAGTGTTAGTGTGTTATGTAGGGTGTTAGTGTGTTATGTAGCGTGTTAGTGTGTTATGTAGCGTGTTAGTGTGTTATGTGCGTGTTAGTGTATGTAGGTGTTAGTGTGTTATGTGGGTGTTAGTGTGTTATGTAGGGTGTTAATGTGTTATGTGGCGTGTTAGTGTGTTATGTAGGGTGTTAGTGTGTTATGTGGCGTGTTAGTGTTATGTAGCGTGTTAGTGTGTTATGTAGCGTGTTAGTGTGTTATGTAGCGTGTTAGTGTGTTATGTAGCGTGTTAGTGTGTTATGTAGCGTGTTAGTGTGTTATGTAGCGTGTTAGTGTGTTATGTAGGGTGTTAGTGTGTTATGTGGGTGTGTGTTATGTAGGGTGGTAGTGTTTTATGTAGCGTGTTAGTGTGTTATGTAGGGTGGTAGTCTGGTAGTGTGTTATGTAGCGTGTTAGTGTGTTATGTAGCGTGTTAGTGTTATGTAGGGTGTTAGTGTGTTATGTAGCGTGTTAGTGTGTTATGTAGCGTGTTAGTGTGTTATGTAGCGTGTTAGTGTGTTATGTAGCGTGTTAGTGTGTTATGTAGCGTGTTAGTGTGTTATGTAGCGTGTTAGTGTGTTATGTAGGGTGTTAGTGTGTTATGTAGGGTGTTGGTGTGTTATGTAGGGTGTTAGTGTGTCATGTAGGGTGTTAGTGTGTTTATGTAGGGTGGTAGTGTGTTATGTAGCGTGTTAGTGTGTTATGTAGGGTGTTAGTGTGTTATGTAGGGTGTTAGTGTGTTATGTAGGGTGTTAGTGTGTCATGTAGGATGTTAGTGTTCATGTAGGGTGTTAGTGTGTTATGTAGGGTGTTAATGTGTTGTGTAGGGTGTTAGTGTGTTATGTAGGGTGTTAGTGTGTTATGTGGTGTTAGTGTGTTATGTAGGGTGTTAGTGTGTTATGTAGGGTGGTAGTGTGTTATGTAGGGTGTTAATGTGTTGTGTAGGGTGTTAGTGTGTTATGTAGGGTGTTTGTGTGTTATGTAGGGTTTTAGTGTGTTATGTAGCGTGTTAGTGTGTTATGTGGCGTGTTAGTGTGTTATGTAGCGTGTTAGTGTGTTATGTGGGTGTTAGTGTGTCATGTAGGGTGTAGTGTTAGGGTGTTTGTGTGTTGTGTAGGGTTTAGTGTGTTATGTGATGTTAGTGTGTGTTATGTAGCGTGTTAGTGTGTTATGTAGCGTGTTAGTGTGTTATGTAGCGTGTTAGTGTGTTATGTAGGGTGGTAGTGTGTTATGTAGGGTGTTAGTGTGTTATGTAGGGTGTTAGTGTGTTATGTAGCGTGTTAGGTGTTATTAGGGTGTTAGTGTGTTATGTAGGTGTTAGTGTGTTATGTAGGTGTTAGTGTGTCATGTAGGATGTTAGTGTGTCATGTAGGGTGTTAGTGTGTTATGTAGGGTGTTAATGTGTTATGTAGGGTGTTAGTGTGTCATGTAGGGTGTTAGTGTGTCATGTAGGGTGTTAGTGTGTTATGTAGCGTGTTAGTGTGCTATGTAGGGTGTTAGTGTGTTATGTAGGGTGTTAGTGTGTTATGTAGGGTGGTAGTGTGTTATGTAGCGTGTTAGTGTGTTATGTAGGGTGTTAGTGTGTTATGTAGGGTGTTAGTGTGTCATGTAGGATGTTAGTGTGTCATGTAGGGTGTTAGTGTGTTATGTAGGGTGTTAATGTGTTGTGTAGCGTGTTAGTGTGTTATGTAGCGTGTTAGTGTGTTATGTAGCGTGTTAGTGTGTTATGTAGCGTGTTAGTGTGTGATGTAGGGTGTTAGTGTGTTATGTAGGGTGTTAGTGTGTTATGTAGGGTGTTAGTGTGTCATGTAGGGTGTTAGTGTGTTATGTAGGGTGGTAGTGTGTTATGTAGCGTGTTAGTGTGTTATGTAGGGTGTTAGTGTGTTATGTAGGGTGTTAGTGTGTTATGTAGGGTGTTAGTGTGTCATGTAGGATGTTAGTGTGTCATGTAGGGTGTTAGTGTGTTATGTGGGTGTTAATGTGTTGTGTAGGGTGTTAGTGTTTATGTGGGTGTAGTGTGTTATGTAGGGTGTTAGTGTGTTATGTAGGGTGTTAGTGTGTTGTAGGGTGTTAGTGTGTTATGTAGGGTGTTAATGTGTTGTGTAGGGTGTTAGTGTGTTATGTGAGGGTGTTAGTGTGTTATGTAGGGTGTTAGTGTGTCATGTAGGGTGTTAGTGTGTCATGTAGGGTGTTAGTGTGTTATGTAGCGTGTTAGTGTGCTATGTAGGGTGTTAGTGTGTTATGTAGGGTGTTTGTGTGTTATGTAGGGTGTTATGGTGTGTTATGTAGGGTGTTAGTGTGTTATGTAGGGTGTTAGTGTGTTATGGCGTGTTAGTGTGCTATGTAGGGTGTTAGTGTGTTATGTAGGGTGTTAGTGTGTTATGTAGGGTGTTAGTGTGTTGTAGGTGTTAGTGTGTTATGTAGGGTGTTAGTGTGTTATGTAGGGTGTTAGTGTGTAGTAGTGTTAGTGTTATGTAGGGTGTTAGTGTGTTATGTAGGGTGTTTGTGTGTTATGTAGGGTGTTAGTGTTTATGTAGCGTGTTAGGTTGTGTTAGTGTTATGTAGGGTGTTAGTGTGTTATGTAGCGTGTTAGTGTGCTATGTAGGGTGTTAGTGTGTTATGTTGGGTGTTTGTGTGTTATGTAGGGTGTTAGTGTGTTATGTAGGGTGTTTGTGTGTTATGTAGGGTGTTTGTGTGTTATGTAGGGTGTTAGTGTGTTATGTAGGGTGTTAGTGTGTTATGTAGGGTGTTAGTGTGCAGGTGTCAGTGAATCAGACACTGGAGGGCAGTGAGGCAGCAAGACTCACAGGTGCTGGGGTGTTGGGATCACATCCTCAGCCTAACCTTGTTTGACCAAGTTACAAGACCGATATCTTCCCGCTTTGAGGCTCTAGCCGCTGGTGGTTTTAGAAAATGCTAGTTTAAACTTTACCAGAGGAATGAGTTGAAAACTTACCAATAACGTTGGCTGAGTAATGACATGAAGGTGAGGTTGGTGGGCAGGGCAGGTAAACTGACCAGTGGGGAGGATGTTCACTTCATCTTCTCCTCTGATGGACGAATTTTGTAAGTCGTATTTACTGTACATCGTTATAGTAACCTGTGCAGCATCGAGGGAACTAAAATTGGATCTTCTGAAGATTGAACAGCGAAGCTTATTTCGCCTGAAGTTTAACCACCCTACCTAACCTAGTCGAACCTAAACTAACCTAACACACCGTAATCAGAACTAAACTAACCTAATACTACCCTATGCTAACCCAACCTAACCTAACCTAATTTATCATTTCTCTCCCCAGGAAGCATTAGGGTGGTTAATCTTCAGGTGATCCCTTAAACCATTTTGTGGGTGGCGTAAATACTGTGAAGGGAGACTCACAATGGGTATGGGAAAATTATAGGTAAATTCCACAATATAAAATACCTTTATTGTCT